GCCTGGGTGTACCACAACGGTTTCGGATTCCCAGCCCAAGTATACTCACGAGCCGAACCCTGAAGCGAGAGCCCACTCGCTTCCTAGTCGGTTCTCGATGTGCGAAGTCAGCATCATTCCCCAATCAGTGCTTGCACTGAAGGGGTCCTAGCGGAAGTTGAAGGATTTGGCGAAAATTCCCAGCCGATTTCGGTGGCAGGCTGGGTGTCCAGGTTCCCGGGTTCCCGGTTCCGGGTTCCCGGGTTCCCGTTTCTGGGTTCTGGGCCGATTTCGGAGGGCGGCGAGGTTCCCGGGTTCCTGGGTGTTTGGTCGATCTTCTTATCGATCGGTTTTTTTATCGATCTCATTACTGACTTCTCGATCGATCCCACCATCGATCTCACAATCGATCCCACTATCAATCTCACAAGCGATCTCACTAGAGATCGCATGAGCGGTCTCGCGATCGACCTCTTTATCGATCACATTGAATCGATTTCACTCTCGGTCTCACGATCGACCTTACAATCGTCCTCATTATCGATTACGCTATCGATCTCATCATCGATCTCACAATCAATCTCAAGATCCATAGTATCAATGTTCAAATCATCCACCGATTGGGTTTTCTCAGGTGTAATGTTGAGCAGCATAAGCGTACCTCACAGAGGTGCGGGCGGCTTCGTCCGAATGCTCGTACCTGAATTCGATGGTCCGCAGCGTAGCTCCGATGGCACCTGTTCCGCGCCAGGCTTCGTGGCCGACTTTTCCAGACTATGCCACCGTGGCACTTGCATGTGTGGAATTCTAGCTTTTAAGGCTCCCTGGCTAGTTAGGCATTTAGGCGCCCTCTGCGCATCATTTCCAGCAGTCGTTCTGTCTCGAGGCTGGCTGATGTTGCGGAGGGGACTTGCATGCAGATTTAGTGCAAGATCGTATGAGAAACAGGTTCTTTGTGGCACTGACCTGTGTGGGTTCAGTCGAACAGGCGGGTCATCTAAGGGCGTGGCATCTTCCCATGAAGTTCTTCTGACGATGGCTGGAAGAGAGAATGGAAGCTGTACAGAGAAGACGGCCGCCTGTGGACAGGCACGGAAGTGGCAATGTGCGGCCGGGCATCCTGCTGCACAGAACGTCGAGCATCAGAGTGAGGGGGCCGAACGGTCATTCGTTGTCCCTGGGTGCGTGGCTGAATAAGGAATTTGTGGTGAGAATTCTGCTTGTTGCGTTGTTGTTGTTGACCTTGTTGTTGTTGTTGTGGTGGTGGTGGTGGTGGTGGTGGTTGTTGTTGTTGTTTGGTGTCGTCGTCCCACCCGCGATCCACCCGCGACCCACCCCGCGACCCACCCCGCGACCCACCCCGCGACCCAACCCACGACCCACCCGCGACCCAACCCACGACCCACCCGCGACTCACCCCGCGACCCACCGGCGACCCACCCGCGACCCACCCCGCGGCCGATCCGCGACCCATCCGCGACCCACCTCGCGACCCGCCCTGCGACCCACCCGCGACCCAGTCCGCGACCCACCCTCAATAGAGGAGAAACCACCCGGACCCGACAATTGACGTTTACTAAACGGCCCTGGGCGTTTACTAAACATCCCTGCCCTGTTCGATTCATTCCTTGTCTGCGTTTACTAAACGGCTTCGCTTGTCGGGGTGATGATTCTGGGGTGGATTTCCTGCCCTCTACACCCGCGACCCACCCGCGACCCATTTGCAACCCACCCGCGACACACCCGCGACCTACCCACATTAGTTTAACGAAAAAATCGGCGCCTGCGCCGAGCTCGTTGTATAGTTTGTCAAACTTTGGCGGGCGTCTGCGGCGGGCTTCTCCAGAGTCTCGCAAATTGCCGACGTCCACACCGCCCCCTCACTGTTATCCACATATGAGGGGTGCTACGGTATTTCCAGAGCCGGCAGGAGCCGGTTCTCCGGAATGTGCTCGCGGGAAGCAAGGGGTTCGCTATGTACGAATGGTTGATCGCATTTTTTTCGTTGCATCGTCGGGGGACGTCGTCTGTCATTCAAATTGGTGTCTTTTCTTGGGCCCGACGCGGGCTCGATGCGGACTCGACGCGGATTCGACAAGTCTGGCATGGACTCGACACGGATGACGCGGATAGCGACGCGAAGTGACAGACAAGGTCACCTAAAGATGCAGTATATAGTTTTTACACGCCGCCCAGGCCGATGTTCGCGGTTCGCTCGACCTTCGTATTCGTACATTGGTTCTCGGGGATTTTGTCCGGGCTCCCCACTTATGTGCAAGATCACCCGATCTAGGAGTAGCAGGGCTTGCTGGGTATTCCGCCGATCCGCAGCCGTAAGTTGTCATGTCGTGTTTGTCGCAGCGTTGGGGAAGCCCAACGTTTGCCCTGGCCTTGACAGCATCCCGTGGAAGCAGCATCTGGAAATATTGTGGCAAGTGAGCGTGTATGGCACAAGCAACCGGAGCTTACCAAATGAGTTAATAACCGGCCTAGTCTGTTCACGCAAACGCCATTCCTCATTCCCTCTCCGACTCGTTCCATCTTCGCTCCCTTCTTCGCCTTCCCATCCTTTCCTCCCTCTTCCCGGTTCATCCTTAGTCTTTCCCCCTCCACTGCTTCCTCCTTCACTCCCCCCTCCCTCTCACCCTCCCCATCCCCTCTCTGCGTGACTCCTTCTCGCCTGCCTGTCCTCCTAAGGCTGAGGCCGCGGACTGTCTTGTCAGGGATGGCTGAAGCCATCGACGCGCCCCTCACCTTGCATCCTCTGCACATCCGACAGAGCCAGACGGGGGATCAGGGCGAGGGCGCGTGTTAAACGTGCCTCCTCCTCCTCCTCCTCCTCCTCCTCCTCCTCCTCCTCCTCCCCCTCCTCCTCCTCCTCCTCCTCCTCCTCCTCCTCCCACTCCTCCTCCTCCTCCTCCTCCTCCATCCTCCTCCTCTTCTTCCTCCTCCTCCTCATCCTCCTCCTTCTCCTCCTCCTCACCGCTCGACATGCGCACGCGCACCAGGGGGCGCCCCTCCTGCCAGCGCCCCCGCGCGCCGGGGCCCGGCCCGGCGGCGGTCGCCATGGGCGCCGCGCTGGCGGCCGTGGCCGGCTGCTGCGCGCTGGGGGCGGAGGGCGCGTATGTTCGGAGCCTCGGAGAGGAGAGGTCAGCCACGCGCAGAGGAAGAGGAGGAGGAGGAGGAGGAGGAGGAGGAGGAGGAGGAGGAGGAGGAGGGGAGGAGGGGGGGGGGAGGGGGGGGAGGGCTTATTAGAAGCACCCCTACTTCTCACAAGGCGCAGGCCTTACATCCATAGATCTAGGGCCGGCGCCTCCTGAGAAGCGGCCTCCATCTAAGGAGCCCTCCCCCCTCCCTCCACCTCCTTGTGCGCGCCGCCAAAGAGGATCGGTCGGGCGGCTTCGACGGGTCCCAGAGGTGTTCCAGCCTCGGTCGTCGTGGTGATTCCCTCAGGTTTCGACGGCGCGTACGTTCGGAGCCTCGGGGAGGAGAGGTCAGCCACGCGCAGAAGGGGGTGGGGGGAGGGGGGATGGCTTCTTAGAAGCAGCCTTCTTCTAAGAAGCCCTCCCCCCCTCCCTCCACCCCCTTGCGCGCGCCGCCAGAAAGGAGCGGTCGGGCGGTTCCGACGGTTCCCAGAGGTGTTCCAGCCTCGGGCGTGTCGGTGATTGCCTCGGTTTTCAAGGGCGCATCCTGCAGCTTGTCATCGCTTTCTGGCTCGTCAGTCTCAGGGGTCGGGATCAGCTCGAGGCTGGTTTACCCGAGGTTCAGGGGCCACGTGAGGGGGGTCTGCTCAGCGGGTTCCAGGGGTCGAGGTCCCCAGGCGCTTTGGTCGGTTCTCGGCGGCTTGTTTCCCGGCTGCGAGCACGGGGGGGGGGCAGACGGGGCGGGCTTGCTGAGAAGGCCCGGAAGTCCCCTGGACTGCTGAGAAGTTTTCCAAGCTTTTCCCCCAAGACTCGAAGACGCAAAAACACCTAAACATAAGCTTTCGGCGCTACGCCCGGATTTCTTGGATCTGCGCGGGGCCCCCCTGGCGGCGCCTCCGGCGCCGCCCCTGGCGCGTTCCGCGCGCCAGGGAGGGAGGTCCAGCGCAGATCCAAGAAATCTGCGCGGAGCGCCGACAGGTTCTGTTCATGCCGTTTCGTGTGTGGTTCCTCGAAAGACAGCCGCCTTCCGAGAAGGCCCTCTCCTGCTCGCTGCCCCCCCTTCGCTCGCCGCCGACTTCTGGCCTCGGGATGCCCTCCAGCGGCTACGCCTCGCCGAGGGCGCTCGGAGGGTGCCCAGGTCGGCCAGGGCGGGCGAGCCATGGCCCGAGGGCCACCGAGGCCTGGGGAAGGGATGAGCGGAGGGGGCGGAGGGAGGGTGAAGCTCGATCCTCCTCCTCCTCCTCCTCCTCCTCCTCCTCCTCCTCCGCCTCCTCCTCCTCCGCCTCCTCCCCCTTCCCTCCTCGTCATCCTTCCTCCTTCTCCTTCCGTACATCTTTCCCTCATCTTCTCCTCCGCCTCCGCCTCCATTCTCCTCATCCTCCCCATCATCATCATATTTGTGCTTGCACGGTTTTCATCTGCGCAATCCGCCGCCATTCGGGGGCTCAAGGCGCAAGGGCCGGCCGCGTGGCCAGATGGTTCCGTCGTGGCTGGGGCGCGTCGTGGAGGTGGCCGGCGCTGGGGTGGTCAGCTACCTGTCGCCCTGCCCGCCTTGCCCCGCGCTCCCTGCCCCGGCGAGCTGCAACGTGAGCCTTGTGTGCCCGAGTATCCCACCTTGCCCTGCCCTGCCCAACGTGTTGGGCGGGCCGCAGTGGGCCCAGGCGCCGCCGCCGGGGCCGACGTGCGGGGCCTGCCCCCCGCTTCCGACCTGCCCAGGGGAGCAGGTGTGCCGCTGCTGGACGCTCAGCTTCTCTCTGTTCCTCGTGGGGGTGCTCGTGGGGGCGCTGGTCACGAGCGGGCTGGGGAGCTGCCGTCGCCTGACATCGACGACATCACGTGCTGCGCCTGTCCGTGCGTTGACTGCGGGAGCCGGCCAGGATGGCGACCACCCAGTGGGTATACGTTTGGTACGCAGGCGAAAACAAGTGGCACCAGCACCTTAATCTAGGCAGGATCGCGCTGAGTCGGAGCGATCACGTGATCTACACGGCCGACGGGGACATGTACATCATCCAGGTGCAGGACAATCCGGACATCCAGGCGACGAGGTTCGGCACCTACGCCACGCCCCCCGTCGGCCTGCGGCGGGCCGACATCTACGGCTTCAGGCAGGAGCCCACTCAGGCCGAGGTCCGCCAGCTGGTGGTCGAGGCCGAGGAGGTGGCGGGTCAGGAGTGCAGGCGCCGGGCCGAGCTCATCGGGGACTTGCAGGTGCTGCGCGGGCTGAAGGTGCTCGTCCCCCCTGGCGGGGCCGCCGCTGCGGGCCCGGCGGCGCCGCCGCCTGGCCCCGCCGTAGGGCTGCTGCGTGGCCGCGCCGCTGCCGCTGGGGCTGCGCCTCGGGCTGGCGGGGTGGCCGACGTGAACGACGGCGTGTGGCGTGTGGCCGTGTGTGTTGGCGACTTCAGGGTGGGCGACGAGATCGTGGAGCACGTGCCGACGCCCTCCCGCGTCGGGGATCGGGACCTGCACCTGCTCCCGTCGGGCGAGGCCCTCCTCGTGGAGTTCGTCACCTCGGCGGCTCTGCCGGGGTTCCTGCAGCGTGCCGTGGGTGCCGACGCGAGGACCCTGCCGGTGACTCGCAACAAGCGGGGGAAGAGGGAGCTCACCTGGTCGGCGATGGTCGAGCTCACCAATCGGGAGGAGTTCGACGCCTCCGACTGGGGGCTTCCTGGCCCCCGCACCGCCGACTGGTGTATGGACTACATTTTGAACGAGGGCCTCGGGATCGAGGGCCACCACGAGCACTTCCGCTCGATCTGCAAGCTGGCGGCCTCGGACTGGGGCGTGCAGGAGCACTACCAGCTCAGCCTGCAGCTCAAGCAGGCCCTCTGCATCGACATGCTGGATGGTTCGAACTTGGTATCGGTGGAGACGAAGTTCAGGAGGATGCAGACGATCGAGTTCGCCCACTGGGACAAGGCGAAGGATCAGGAGAGCAAGGGGATTGGCGGCAAGCTGTCTTTGGAGGAGCAGGCCGCGTTCTCGGGCGTCACCCGCGCCCACACCGCCATCATGATCTGCCCGGACCTCATCGAGCACGTTCGGGCTGAACTCGAGCGGGAAAGGAAGCTGAACAAGAACCTGCGCCTGGCACGCGAGGAGCGCGAGTCCAGGCGCAAACACGGGTAGGCAAGGCACGGCCGCTGGGGGCAGCAGGGACCCAGTGGGCCGAACTCCATCCTGCAGTGGTCCGAGCCGCACGTCGGGCCCAAGCGCCGCCACACCGGGTCGTCGCGCACCTCGAGGTGTTTTTCCTCTACCTTACCCTTATGACCTCCAGCGTCAGCGGGGAGAGGCTTTTCGAGGGCTTAGCCGCGTCGTTCAGCAACGACACCTTCGGCGAAGCAGTTTTGAGAGGGATGTGACCCGGGCCGTGGATGCATTGAATTGGTTGAACGACTCGCCCACTCATGTCGGGCGGGACCGTAGTTTTACAGCAGGCGCCCTGTCGCTGGCCCAGCGCCAGTGCCTGGCGCACATCAGCAGCTCCGTGGAGGAACTTGGTGCACCTCCGCGAGATCTGTCTCCCGCAGAAGCGCTACGGCAGCTTCGCGTGGCCGGGGGCGGCTACAGCGTCGAGGAGTCGCCCCTCGGAAGCTATGACCCCGCGCTCGTCTCCTTGCCGGACGGGAAGGTGCCTCCAGTGCCACTCTCGGACGTGTGGGGCGATGGCGGGATATCCAAGGTCGAGCTTTTTGTTCAGCAGAGCCTGCTGCCGGCTGACGTGGCGGCCGCTCGACTGGACGCATGCTCTGTCAAGGCGCCCTACTCTGATCCTCGGCTGAGGTGCGCGCGAGACTGGGAGGGTTTCGTTCGTGATCTGCATGCTCGTAATTTGATCGACTTCTCGCTGGACGACGGCGTGAGGGTCGACGCGTTCTTTGTCAAGAAGAAGGGGGGCCGCCTCAGGATGGTGATCGACTGCAGGCGCAGCAACGTCGTGTTCGCCGACCCCGCGCCTGTCGTCCTGCCCACGGGGGGCTCGTTCGCCGCCCTCGAGCTGGGCGACCCCGAGGGCATCCTGAACGTGGAGGGCGTCGACCTGAAGGACGCTTTCTACCACCTCGAGCTGCCCATCGAGCTCAGGAGGTACTTCGTGATGCGGCCCGTCCTGGCGGGCTCCGTCGGTGTCTCCAGCCTCGGGGGAAGCCGGGTCGCGCCAACGGCCAAGCTCTTCCCTAGGCTGAAGGTGGTGCCGATGGGCTGGTCGTGGGCGCTGTGGTGGTGCCAGTCCATCATGGAGCGCATCGCGGAGCAGTCGGGCTGCCCTGAGGCGCAGCGGCTGCACGACGGGCGCCCCGCGCCCGGCCTCGGCGAGTTCGGGCACCTCCAGTACGTGGACAACTTCGTCAGCCTCGGCTACGATCGTGGCGCCGTCCGCGCGGCGGTGGCGCGAGTGGCGGCCGAGCTGGAGCGTCGCGGCCTGGTGGTCACGCTCGAGGATCGCGCTGGGGAGCACGAGGGCACCTTCAACGTCCTGGGCTGGGACATCGCCGCCTCGGGGAGGCTGTCCGCCTCGGGGAGACGCCTGTGGCGTGCGCGGCTCGCTGTCAGGTGCCTTCTCAGGCGAGGCCGCTGTTGCGGGGCGGACATCGAGCGCATCCTCGGCCATCTCATCTTCATCACCCTCGTGCGGCGCGAGGGCCTCGCGCTCTTCGAGGCTTGCTTCAGGTTCGTGCAGACCTCGTACCACGTGGAGGCCCCGCTCCCAGGCGGCGTCCGCACCGAGCTCGCGGTGTGGGATGGGCTGGCGCCCCTCCTCTGGCGGGACCTGAAGGCGGGCTGGTCGATGGACGTGGGCGCGGTCGACGCGTCGCCGTGGGGCCTGGGCGCCTGTCAGTCCACCTGGGCTCCCGCGGCAGTCAAGTCCGTCGGGCGGGGCTGCGAGCGGTGGCGCTTCGGGCGGGCGGAGAGGCTCCCGCCACGGCGCCGCGCTCTGGCCGCCAGCCAGCGGGCGCTGGGCCAGGCCATAGCTGCCGAGGTGGGTGACCCCGCCTCCGGCGGCCCTGGGCTCGTTGCCTTCGCGTCGGCTGCCGACGCCCTGCCAGCCGAGCCCGCCGGTCCGCCTTTGGAGCGCGACCTAGCCGAGTTCCCCGAGGTTCCAAAACGCCTCCTCGAGCGCTCGGCCTGGACTGTCACAGGGAGGAGGAAGTGGGACCGTTCAGAGCCGATGCCCATCCTGGAAGCCAGAGCGGTTCATTATCACCTTCGTCACGCCCTTCGGAATGCAAACAATCATGGCAAGAAGATCTTGGTGCTAGGAGACTCTCTGACGGCTGTCGCCGCCTCGTCCCGCATGCGAGCTCACTCGCACGCTATGCTCCGGGTCATGCAGCGCATCTCTGCCCTGTCCTTGGCTTCTGGGTCGTATCTGTGCGTGAGGTGGGTGCCCACAGAGTTCAATGTGGCCGACGGGCCCTCGAGGGGGAGGGGATCTCCAACAAAGCCTATAGACATCATTCTTGACAAGCACGACCCCGCAAAGCACGACATCAAAAGCAAGCACGAGTACAACATCATCAGCACAGTCAAGCACGATATCACCGACATGCCCATCATCAGCAAGAATGGCAATCACGAGATCAGCAAGCACGACAAGCACGACATCAGCAAGCACGACATCGGCAAGCACGACATCAACAAGCATAGCTTCACCGACAAGCACGACATCAGCAACGTAGGCCAGCACGGCAGCAGCACGCATGACACCGACATCAGCACGTTCTTTCCTTCGTACCGCCGTTTTGGTTCATGCTGTCCAGCTTCGAGGCCTTCGCCTGGCGAGAGTGCGCCCCCACTGCCTATGCAGAGGGAGTGCGACTGGCATGCTGGGCCGGGCTCGTCGCCGGAGTCGGTCGCCGCGGAGCCAGCCTTCGTCGACCTCGGCAGCCTCGCGACCGGGCCCCCCGGTCTGGCCGGGCCGCCGCGCTGCTCGCCAGGCCGCGCCTGCCGCGCGGACCGCGCCGGGCCCTCTGCAGGGCGTGAGGCGCTGGCCGGCGGCGGCGACGCCGCGCCCCCAGACCCCTCGGGAGCGGGCGGCCGAGGTGCGGCCGCCGCCGGGCGTGCAGGTGCTCAACGCCGCCGCGGTGCGCACGGCGAGGGGCAGGGAGGCCTACCAGGTGCTGCACGCCGCGTTCGTGACTTGGGCCAGGAGCCAGCAGATGGCGCTGTCCTCGGCCGCGGACGTCGACAAGGCAGCGGTGGGCTACCTGCACGTGATGTTCGACGAGGGGAAGCACCTGACCTACGCCAACCGCCTCATCGCGGCCATCGCTTGGATGCGGCCCGAGTTCAGTCGGCACGGCCAGCTCCGCCTCCCGCGGGCGAAGCAGGCTGCGGCGGGCTGGAAGAACCTGGCGCCGCCGAAGAGCCGTCAAGCGCTGCCGATCGAGGTGGTCTTCCTGATCATCAACTGGCTCCTCCTCCAGCGGTCCTACGAGGCCGCGCTGGCAGTGTGGCTGCTGTTCGAGATCTACGGTCGGCCGGGAGAGATCCACAAGCTGCGAGCCGTGGACCTCGTGCCGCCGCTGATGGCGCGGGGCGCGGCCCACCGCTTCTGGAGCGTGACGCTCTCACGCAAGCCGAGGTGGGCGACGTGTCCAAGACGAACGAGTTCGACAACTCCGTCGGCTCGACACTCCTCGTCTCAGCGGCTGGCGTCGAGCCTGGACTGGATTGTTGGCGCGCAGGTGGGGCGCGGGCTGGAGGGCGAGCGCCCTCGCCCGAGAGGGCGGGGCCGCAGGCTTGCCAGGCTCGCTCTTCCTCATCTCGCCCGCGGACGTGTCCCGGGAGTTCCGGCGGGCGGTGACCGCCCTCGGCCTCCGCCGCCTCGGCGCCGTGCACCTGTACCAGCTGCGGCACGCCGGGCCGTCTCGCGCCGCTACGAGAAGGGCAGCCGCCTGACAGAAGTGCTGCATCGTCTACCTCTCTGGCTGCAGCGACACGGGGGAGCCTGCGTCGAACACCTGAGCCGACCCGTGTTCGAGGTGCCCTCACCTTTGTCGCAGCCTATCTGAGCGCGCCTGTCATACTCGAGCTTTTTTCTGGGCATGGAGGCTTCGCCCGTGCTGCAGGAGCCATGGGCTTCTGGGTTCTCGTGTGGGACCTGTCTCTTGGGGAACAATACGACTTGACGCGCTCAGAGAATCGCGCCAAGATCAACGCGTGGCTCCGGGCAGGTTTGCTGCTTGGCTGGCACGCGGGCGTTCCTTGTAATACACTCACACGTGCCAGAGGATACGGTATCGGTCCACCAGCCGTCAGATCTGACGAGTGCCTTTTCGGTCTCCCCGATCTGTCGTTTAAATTGCAAGCTCAGGTTGATGCCTCCAATTGTCTGAACAAATTCGTCGCTTCGCTTGCCCGGGCCACTCTGGCCCTCAGTGTGCCGTGGTCCGTTGAGAATCCCAAGACCTCTCGGCTCTGGCTTTTGCCGGACTACAAGCGCCTCCACCGCCGTCGGGGAGTGGAGCATGTTGTTACTTCTATGTGCATGTGGGGTACCCGGTGGCGGAAAGACACAGGGCTCCTCCTAGGTTTGCTGGATCCCACGCCATGGCGTGACACCAGATGCCAGGGCTCGAAGCGCGGGCTATGTGCTCGCACCGGCCAACGACATGAGATCCTCAGTGGCAAGAGACCCGACGGGACCTTTGCCACCAGTGCTGCAGCCATCTACCCTGTGCGCTTCTGCAAAGCTCTGGCTAGGTCATTTTATAATGCTCACGTTGCAAAGATTGCTGCCTCTTTCCAGAGGCACCTGTGAGAATTCGGCGCTACCAGCTTGCAAGCATGCCTGCAGATTTGGCATGTAAAGTGTGTGCTCTGTCGACCTCGCCGTGGCGTCTCGCGCCACCACACGCAGCTCGCCCTCACACCTGACTTCTGGCAAAAACGAGCTCTGATGATATTTGTGCTTGCACGGTTTTCATCTGCGCAATCCGCTGCCATTAGGGGGCTCAAGGCGCACCATCCAGCCATCCCCACCTCCTCCTTCTTCTTTTAACCTTGCTCCTTGGCATGTAAAGTGTGTGCTCTGTCGACCTCGCCGTGGCGTCTCGCGCCACCGCACGCAGCTCGCCCTCACACCTGACTTCTGGCAAAAACGAGCTCTGATGATCATCATCATCATCATCATCATCATCATCGTCATCATCATCATCATCATCATCATCAGCATCATCATCATCATCGTCATCATCGTCATCTTCATCATCATCATCATCATCAGCAGCAGCATCGTCAGCAGCAGCATTATCATCAGCAGCATCATCACCACCATCAGCATCAGCAGCACCATCAGCATCATGAGCATCATCAGCAGTAGCAGTTTCAGCATCAGCATCATCATGACCATCATCATCATCACCATCATCACCGTCAGCATCATCATCCTCATCAGCATCATCACCATCATCATCAGCATCAGCATCCTCATCATCAACAGCAGCATCATCATCCGAATCATCGTCATCATCATCATCATCATCGTCAGCATCAGCATCATCATCATCATCATCACCATCACCATCACCATCATCACCATCACCATCACCATCACCATCATCATCATCATCATCATCATCATCACTCGTTTCAGCAAACCCCTTACACGCTTCGTGGCCCCATAGGGAGCTCCACCGAAGGCCCCAGTGCTACCGCCCGCATGCGTCGCCCCCACCTAGTACAGCGTTTCGTGGCCCCACGGAGGGCTCCACCGACGGTCCCAGTGGGGGTGCCCGCATGCGTCCCCCCCCCACCCAGTACAGCGCTTTGTGGCCCCATCAGGAGCTTCGCCGAAGGCCCCCGAGCTACCGCCCTCATGCGTCCCACCCACCCAGTACAACGCTTCGTGGCCCCATACGGAGCTCCACCGAAGGTTCCAGCTCTACCGCCCGCATGCGTCCCCCCCACCCAGTACAGCGCTTCGTGGCCCCATAGGGAGCTCCACCGACGGCCCCAGTGCTACCGCCCGCATGCGTCCACCCCCACCCAGTACAACGCTTCGTGGCCCCCATGGGGAGCTCCACCGAAAGCCGCATTGCTACCGCCCGCATGCGTGCCCCCCCTGCGCCACACCCAGCACAGCGTTTCGTTGTCCCTTGGGGAGCTCCACCGACGGCCCCACTGCTACAGCCCGCATGCGTCCCCCCCACCCAGTGCAGCGCTTCGTGGCTGGCCCCATAGGGAGCTCCACCGAAGGCCCCAGTGCTACCGCCTGCATGCGCCCCGCCCACCCAGTACAGCGCTTCGTGGCCCCATACGGAGCTCCACCGAAGGTCCCAGCTCTACCGCCCGTATGCGCCCCCCCCCACCCAGTGCAGCGCTTCGTGGCCCCATCAGGAGCTTCGCCTAGGGTCCCAGTGCTCCCGCCCACACACGTCCCCCCCACCCAGAACAGCGTTTCGTGGCCCCATACGAAGCTCGACCGACGGTCCCAGTGAGGGTGCCCGCATGCGCCCCCCCACCAGTACAGCGCTTCGTGGCCCCATAAGGAGCTCCACCGACGGCCCCACTGCTACAGCCCGCATGCGTCCCCCCCACCCAGTACAACGCTTCGTGGCCCCATAGGGCGGTCCACCGAAAGCCGCATTGCTACCGGCCGCATGCGTTCCCCCCACCCAGCGCAGCGCGTCGTGACCCCATAGGGAGCTCCACCGAAGACGATAATCACAACCGCGTTACTCACAACTGCATATGGTTGAGTCTTTCGCCAGGCTAATTTCAAAGGGTGCATGTTGACCCGATCGGCCCGATGTGATATCGATCTGGGCCACCTCGATCTGGTTCGGTCTGGATCTTCCGACGATTCGATGCGGCCCCCGTGTTTCCACGGCGTTGTTGTGCATCTTGGCGCGGCCGATGCGAGTCGATTTCGATCCCGTGCCAGCGCGGCCAGTTCCGACGCACGTTCCCATACGGTCCGGCTTCTCGATCTAAGGCCGGCCGATTTGGGAACCCGCGCGGGGGTCCTTTTGTTGTCCCCCCTGGTCGTCCAACCCGAGCCCGGCCTTCGGCCCGCGGGCAAATCCTGGCCAACGCGCACGCCACGTGCGGCGGTTCCTCCGGCGCCGTGGGCGTGCTGGACCGCATGGAGGCGGCAGGCTTGCGGCCGAACGTGGTGGTCTTCACGACGGCGCCGACGGCCGGGCCAAGCGGGGCGTTCCAGGAAGGGCTTCGTTTTCGATCGGTGGTTCGAAGACGGGGTCCTGAGGGATGGGGTCCCAAGGATAGGAGCTTGGCATCGCTCGGACGTGTGCATTTTTCTCGGCCGGAACCATCGAGGAGCATCTTGGGCCACCTCACGACAAAATACACGCACGGAATCGAAAAATGCACAGGGAATGGACGTCCGAGCGATGGCCAGGGAAATCCAAAAATGGATTTGCATTGTTTGAAGCACCGCGTCCTCAGGACCCCATCCCTCAGCCGCCGATTCGATGAATCGAAGAATATAAACCCTGTGGGATTCGGATGATTGGATCAGCCTTTTACCCCTTCTAGGATTCGAAAAAGAATTCGAAATCGCCGTCGAGAATCGGCCCTCTACCCCGTAGGATCCGAAGGATAGAAAGCTACATCAACATGAATTTTCGGAGCTCCGCGTGGATTTCTTGGATCGGCCCGGGGTCCCCTGGCAGCGCCTCCAGCGCCGCGCCCCTGGCGCGCTCCGCGCGCCTGGAAGGGGGGCCCAGCGCCGATCCAAGACACTTGCGCGTGCCTCCGAGAAATGATGTCTGGCCCGTGCTTTGTCTTTCTGCTCGAGGAACCGCGAGGTTGACACAGCTTGCTCGGCGGAAGGTGGCGGAAGTAAAATGATGGCGGCTCCGCCGACGGAAGCCGGCGGAAGGACAGCGGAAGTTGGAGGAGACAAAAGGCGCGCCCTCAAGAGATGACGACATTTTTGAGTGCAGGGTCTCGTAACCCGCCAAGAGGGGCCAGAGCACCCGGACCTCTTCTGATTGCCCATGGTCTGCCTCCTGGGGCCCTCACCGGGTACAGGGGCCTTCAAGAGATTTTTGTTTTTTGGCTTGCAGGCTTGAGGCACGTTCAGCGGTGCAAGCTGGCAGGTCCTGCACTGCTAGCCAGGTCACTCGGCGGTGGTCACTTGCGGGCATCGCTCCTTTCCGCCCCCGCCAATCTTGGCAGGAGGTGCCACTCTGCATTTCCCACAGGTGCCGAGTGTTGTCTCTGGTGTGGTGTAGCCGTTGAGGCCAAAAAACAAAGCTGGTCCCAGGGACAGGTCCAGACCTCCAGGGATCCACGGTTCAGACAAAAATCACGGCGACAAGGTCTGGGCCGGTGTGGCCGAAGGCTCGCGCGCGTCACCGACGCCCGGAACAGCGCTCCTCCTCCGCCTCCGCCTCCTCAGTCCGCACGCCCGCTCGGCAGGCCAGGAGACGGCGTTGCCAATCAGCTTGGATGCACCAGGAAGGGAAAGAAGGGAGCGGCCGCGAGCGCGCTCACGCGGCGGGGACCGTCGCAGGGGCGCCCAGGGCGGCTAAGCCGTGGCTCCCCTGGCAGCGGGGGCGGGGCGGCGTTTTCACTGCTTCAAAACGGGATCCCTTAAAGTCCCGACCCTTTCCACGGGACCGCTTCTTCGTCCCGACCAGTTTCTTGACGGTCCCGGGGACTGGCGAGGGTCCCTGGACGCCGAAAACGACAAAGGTGTCCCGTCTTTAATCTTGTTACGACACGAGCGTGTCTAGGGATGCGTCGGCGACACGGCGCGATCCTCTGACCCCATCCGCTCTGGCGCCACCAAGACGGCCTCCAGGTGTTCGACGGAAGAAAATGGGGTCGATTGTGCGGACGTTCACGCGCAAGCTTCCAGCGTAAGGTCGCGCGTAGGCGTTCGTCTTCTCCACGCGGTGCGCCGCACTAGCGGCCCGCGTAAGCCACCGCGTAAGTTCGCTATGGCATCTCGCGTAAGTCTAGGCCTTCCAGATGGGGTCCGAGTAGACGGGGCCGAAGGATCAGGACGCATCGCCGATGCATCGGCGATGCGGATCGATGCGGAGCCCGATTTTCGCCACGGTGACGGCGGCGATGCCTCGCCGACGTCGCAGATGCATCGGCGATGCGGCGCGTTCCTCCGACCCCATCCACTCGGAACCCATCTGGGAGGCCTCTAGTAAGGCCCGTTCCCTCTCGTCGCTCATCCGCTCCGGCGCCACCTGGGCAGCCCCCAGGTGCTCAAGGCATGCTGCGCCGCGGGCGGCAACCTCCTTGCGGCCCGCGAGGTCCTGGCGCGCATGGAGAATGGCGGGCCGGCCGCGCGCCCGAACCTCCGCACCGCCAACACGCTGCTGCGCGGCTGCCTCTGGGGTGGCGACCTGGAGCTCACTGGAGAGGGCCTGGGCCTCCCAGATGGGGCCCGAGTAGATGGGCCCGGGGTTGCTGAGGGTGCCCCTGGCCCCAGGTGCGCCCAGCTGTTCGCTCAATCTTGGAGCCCCTGAGGCACTGTGGGCCTCGTGGGGGGCGCTCTGGAGGCCGCGAGGGCCTCCTTGGAAATCGTGGGGCAGCTTGGGCCAGGGGCATTTCTGGCAACACCCGAATGAGGTCGAAGGATCGCTCCGCATCGCCGATGCTTTGGCAATGCGGCTCGATGTGGAGCGCAACTCTCTCCGCGCCGACGTCGCCGATGCACCAGCGGCGTCGCCGATGCATCGGCGATGCGGCCTGATCCGTCGACCCCCCCAACTACTCGGACCCCAGCGGCCTCCGACGTCGTGTTTTTCTTGTCCCTGGGAAGAAACGGCACAAGCATGAACGGTCGGAGCTCCGCTAGGATATCTTAGATCGGCGCTGGGCTCCCCCTGGCGGCGCCTCCAGCGCCACCCCTAGGCGCCCAGGAGGGGGCCCAGTGCCGATCCAAGAGATCCGCGCGGAGCTGCGAAAGCCTGTGTCTGTGATCTTGTTCTTGCCGCTCTATCTGTTCACAACTCAGGAGCGAAACAAGGACGTACACGCACATGAGCATAGCATAGCATAGCATAGCATAGCATAGCATAGCATAGCTTAGCTTTTGGGCGCAAGAGCCCATCAGGGAGCAAATTGTACAAATCTGTCGTAACAATCTGGTTCCCCTGAGCTGTGATATATGCGCATGCGTAGCCGTTTGGGCCCAGAGCGCTCAGCGAGCGAGGCCACTTGCAGGTTTCGCAAAGTCCTGCAGGGCCCATTCATTGCGAAGTTGGAAAACATTCTATTCATCACATCGTATTTGGTACACCACAACATTTCAGAAGAATGGGCGACTTCGCACCTGGTGATGGTCCCTCTGCGGGAGAGCCAGGAGGTGGCAGCGCAGGCGCAGCTGCTTCTGGACACCGGGGTGAAAGAGGCAGGCGGGCACTACTACATCCTAGTGTTCAACCTCGTCCTGGTCTCGGAGATGCTGCGCAACCTCGTGAACTTCGAGGAAGGAGCCGCAGTCCGCGGGGCAGTGACGATGGAGAGGATGACCACCTCTCGCCGGCAAGGACGCGGACGTACAGTCCAAGAGCACACTAAGATATAAGAGCCATGGTCGAAGAGAAGCTTGGAAACTACACCACATTGGAAGTGCGGAAATGCATCAAGAAAGCAGCTACGGAGCTGAGCGCCAAGATTGGATCTCTTCAAAACATCATGGCCACCATCGAGCATCTACAATCAGTCATTGCAGCGCTGAGTACAGATGGTGGCGACATTCCAGCCAATTTGGGCTTGCGGAAAGTTCCAATATCGTTCGAGACGCCGATTATGGACGATTTGACAGTAGAGGAAGAAATCAAGTGTGAATTCACAATTCAGCCCGGAACCACGTTGCGAGAGGCAAAAGAAATCGTGCATAAGAAGCAGTTGGGGGCACAAAAGAGATTGGACCTGTTGGTATTGAAGCGCCAGCAAGAGCTGCTTCGTATAACCACCAAAAAAGAGCACGCTCGTGGAAAAGATCTTGGTTGCCAATCGTTCTCAACCATCAGCTTGGGATGCGTTGGGGCTTGACCTTGACGAAGAAGACAAGGCAATGGCCCAGACAAACACCGATGACCTCAAGGCGAGGGCGGCTGTGATCTACAAGAAAATAGTGGACAAAGCAGCGGAGGAGAGAATGGCAAAGCAAAGAACGTCCAGCTTGAGGGATGAGGCCCGTGAGAAGATGGTCAAGGAACTTTCGGCCTTTTCTCCCCAGCAGTACGTGGACTTCACGGTTGAAAAAACTGTTTGTTTTATATATATATAGTTTTTGTTTTTTTTTTATTATATAAAAAAAAAAAAAAAAAAAAAAAAAAAAAAAAAAAAAAAAAAAAAAAAAAAAAAAAAAAAAAAAAAAAAAAAACGGCAGCGCGTGGAGAAAACGTCGGAATTCCAAAACGTGTACACGTTGGAGCAGAAAGCTGGATACGATGCGAATCCTTCAGCTTATTTCCATGACGCGGTGACCTCGATAGTAACTAATACTGAGATCAAGAATGCCTTGACAAAAAAACGGTTTGCGCCAGCCCTCGAAGGGCAAGGGGGCTGGCAAAGGAAAAAGCAAAGGCAAAGGCAAGGACAACAAAGGAAAGGGCAGAGACTTTTCGAACGAAGCTGGCAATCCCAAGGGGCAGGACAAAGGCAAAGCAAAAGGGAAAGCAAAGACTGGCGCTGGGAAACCGAGCGGATCCCAGCAAGGCAAGGGCAAAGGCAAGGAGCGTTACGACAAGAGTTGGAAAGGCAAAGGCAAGGAGATGGACAAAGGTTCCAAAGGCGGAAAGACAGGATCAAACACTGGGAAAGGAAAAGGAGGCAAGACAAAGCAAAAGTGGCAGTGAAAGAACGTGCCATTCAGATGTTTTGGAGAGCCATTGATGGGTTACCCATGGCTGACTTCAAACGTCTTCTTTCGATTGGGAACAATACGCCAAAGGTGCACGTGTATGACATCGACCGCAAAGCTTGTTTCATCCCAGAGAAAGGTGAAATATCCTGGCTGGTGGAATTCCTGCTGAGTTACCACAGAAAGCACATTTTTAGGGGGACCGAGGCTCCTGACCTTGCACAAATTTCCAAATGCTTGCGACAATGGGCGAACAAGCAGCACTGGAGATTCTATTTTGGCGTCAACCGACCTTCGGCTCAGGGCGAGGATGCTGGCGATAACCCGTTCAGGCTAACTTTGCTTCCACGCCCGAGTGTAACTTCCCCATCTCTGATTCGCAGAACGCTTTCATATCCGAAGTGGTTGACGGCGTTTGGCAAGAGCGCAAACGTGCAAGAGGAAAGTTCTCAAGCAGACGCGCTTCCATCGCCAACTTTTGCGAGGTGCACCGGCTTGCATTTTCGATTCTCCGCCGTGGGGACATGGGCGTTTTGCCTTCGGACAAGGGACAAGGATGGGGGATTTTGCCTAATCAATAAGTGGGCTATCGTCTTAGAGAAAGTACGGTTGACTCAGAGTGACAAATACAGACAGTTGGAACACGACATGGCGGATGAATCTTTCGATGATTACCAGTCTGCAGTCCATGAGGCAGCAGGCGCCTTACAGGACAAGCGTTTCATCTTCGCTATGCTTTCGCGGGCAAGAGGTGGTGCAACGGGCGTGGTATCCAAGATGAAAGCCACCATCAAGTCTCACAAAGACGTCGGCGGAGTAGAACTCAGACCATTGCACGCATCCCCATGCAACCGCATGAAAGGTGGAATGTAATGGTTGTCTGACACATTGAAGAAATTCATCAAGACGCAGCCCCATATCTTACGAGACAGTAGAGACCTCCTGCAGCGCGTAAAGTTCATGAAGTGCGCGGCCGAAGACATCCTGATAAAGATAGACATCAAAGACTTCTACATGAGTGGTCAGCACAATGACCTCGTCGAGTACTCCAGCAGGGGCGTGCCAGAGGGCAGCGAAAGTTCTGCGCAACCAGATTGCGCAAGTGGAGGGCGTGCCGAATGTTTCCTGGACGGCGAAGATAGGAACAGACATGGGGTTCGGCTGTAGTGGAGAAGTGAGCGACACTGCATTCCACTTCATGGTGGAGGAGGGGGTGATGAATAATGAACGGTTTATGCAGAGATTTGGCATTCGATTATGGGGGCGCTTCAAAGATGATATTCCCCTTATCGCCGGCGGCGCAAATCAGACAAGAGTGGACCGATTGCTTGATATATTCAGGATGAAGAGCCGCTTCTTCAGGTTGAAGACAGAATCTGTTTCCGAGATCTCGGCCGTCATGTTAGACGTGGCGTTGTATAAGGGCGCGCGGTGGCACCACTCTGGATTTCTTGATTTCCGCGTGCATGCGAAGCCCACGTCCCTCCACACCCCTCTCCTCTGTTCCAGTGCTCATCCCACGCACGTGCATGCAGCGTGGCCTAACAGCATGGCCAGGCGTTTTACAGAACTGTGCAGCAACTCTCGCATTGCACGGAAGATGGTGCAGTCCATCTCGCGGCAGTACATTTCAACCAACGGTAGTTTGCCCAGCCCCAGCAATTTCAAAACGGCGCGTGCCCCGAGCGACCAGGTGCAGTCTTTTTTAGTCCTCCCTTACCACGGCGAATGGGAATTCGCCCGGTTCCAAAGGGTGGTGGATCTTTGCAGGGATGCGGGGGTGAGAGTGCGGTTTTCGTTTAAATGCAGCTCCAGACATCTCCTGCACCGCCCTGTAGACGTCAACAGGTCCGAGGCCAATACGGTTCTGGACGTGTTTCACTAAGCGACTTATTAACGGTTGGTAGGTTGGGGTAGGTGGCGGTTTCATAGCTTAGCTTTTGGGCGCAAGAGCCCATCAGGGAGCAAATTGTACAAATCTGTCGTAACAATCTGGTCCCCCTGAGCTGTGATATATGCGCATGCGTAGCCGTTTGGGCCCGGAGCGCTCAGCGAGCGAGGCCACTTGCAGGTTTCGCAAAGTCCTGCAGGGCCTATTCATTGCGAAGTTGGAAAACATTCTATTCATCACATCGTGAGAGGGCCTGGGCCTCCCAGATGGGGCCCGAGTAGATGGGCCCGGGGTTGCTGAGGGTGCCCCTGGCCCCAGGTGCGCCCAGCTGTTCGCTCAATCTTGGAGCCCCCGAGGCACTGTGGGCCTCGTGGGGGGCGCTCTGGAGGCCGCGAGGGCCTCCTTGGAAATCGCGGGGCAGCTTGGGCCAGGGGCACTTCTGGCAACACCCGAATGAGGTCGAAGGATCGCTCCGCATCGCCGATGCTTCGGCAATGCGGCTCGACGTGGAGCGCAACTCTCTCCGCGCCGACGTCGCCGATGCACCGGCGGCGTCGCCGATGCATCGGCGATGCGGCCTGATCCGTCGACCCCCCCATCTACTCGGACCCCAGTTGGGAGGCCTCCGACTGGGCAGTGCCATCGGCCTCCGACGTCGTGTTTTTCCTTGGAAAAAAAAAAACGGCACAAGCATGAACGGTCGGAGCTCCGCTAGGATATCTTAGATCGGCGCTGGGCCCCCCCTGGCGGCGCCTCCAGCGCCACCCCTAGGCGCCAAGGAGGGGGCCCAGTGCCGATCCAAGAGATCCGCGCGGAGCTGCGAAAGCCCGCGTCTGTGATCTTGTTCTTGCCGTCATATCTGTTCACAACTCAGGAGCGAAACAAGGACGCACACGCACATGAGTCCACGCTGTTTTTGAAAGTACGCGTTGCGCGGAGGTTCGTATCACGAGGGTGGTCTCGCTGACTCGGGGGCCGCATATCCAATGCGCGCATGTCTGCCCTCATCCCGCCACGGGCCCAGGCCGTCGATGTTAGATCGCTTCCGTGGGTTCTGGGGCCCAAGAATTCGCGCCAAGGCAGTGCGAATGGATTACCTGCTCCCTGCCGCCCAGTACGCTCGGCAGGGAGCGCTCGCATATGTCTGGGGCGGCAACCTGCAGAGGTGCCCGTCCGTCCACATCCCTGCCTGCCCTGCCATACCGAGCTGCGCGTGTCCGCCGTGCCCCGGCTGCCCGGCGCGCCCAGGGCCCCCCCCCCGCCCCCGCCACGCCCTCGGCGAACGGCGGGGGCAGCGGCGAGCCGAGGCAGCCCTCCTCCTTCTGGTCTGCGGTGCTGGTGAACGAGATCCTCCTGCTGGGCCTGACGCTGACCTACGGCATCCTGTCGTGGAACCGCGTCGGATTGACGCGCTGCCGACGCAATGTTGGCCGCGCAGAACGTGGAGCCAGCGGAAGCAGCGCCTCATGGGATGCTCCAGTGGGCGCGGGTGCGCTACGAAGGAGAGCCATTGTGGCACCAGCGTCTGATCTTAGGGCGGCGGGTGCGGACACCACTGGAGAGAGTCACTGAGTGGATGGTGCTCATCTGCACGGTGGACACCGACATCTATGAGGAAGACTATTCATGCCAGGGAAGAGACATCATTGCTGTGAGGTTCACATCAAACCGCGCAACCTTCCCGCCGGGTGTTGGCGCCGCCAACTCGCGCAGGTTCAGGCGGGACCTCACGGTGGCGGAGATGCAGCAGATTGACCAGACCGCGCTGGACTACTGCACCGCCGCCCTGGTCGCCGACCACCAGCGCCTGCGGCTGCCTGCGCCCGGCGGACAGTTCCTCGTGCCGCTGACCTTCGGGCCTGCAGGGGACGGTGGCCCTGGCGCGGGCGCTGCGCCGGCCGCCGCAGGCGCCGCGCCCCCAGTGGCTGCCGCGCCGGCCGCCCCAGCGGCGCTGCCCGTCGGCGCCCCGGCGGCGCCCCCCCCTGCAGGCGGAGCGGCCCCAGGCGGCGCGGCCGCGGCTGGACCGGGGGCTGCGGCCCCGGCGGCCGAGGCAGCTGCGCGGGTGCTGGTCGAGTCGACCGCTGGCGGGGGACAGTCGTGATCCCGCCCGCTGGCTGGGACCTCCGTGGGGCCGTCGGCTTGATGCCGCAGGCTGATGGGACGTGGGTGGCCATCCGCTCGATCTCCGAGCCCGCGCAGACCTACGCGGGGAGGGAGGCCGCCTCAGACGCCAGGCTGATGAGCATCGTCGCGAACCCAGCGGTTCCGGGCGGCAGGCTCTTGAGTCAGTGGCGCGATGCGGTGGCCAGCTTCACAGAGGAGTCGTTCGTGGACTGGCACATCCCTGGCCCCCGCACGTGTTTCTGGTGCTGCAAGTTCATAGACAGACGCCAGGGCGGGCCGCTCGACCACTTCAGGTTCTGGAGGTCCACCCTGGGGCTGTCGGCTGAGGACTACGGCGTCGGCGACTACGAGGCGAGCATGCGGGCCATCTACACCCTCGCCTGCTGGGGTGGCCTCGACCTGCCGAACCTGGCGGGGGTGGAGCAGATGTTCAGGAAGTGCCAGATGCATGAGTACGTGTACGTCATGGATCGGGACCCTCACCACAGTGCGTCCTCTGGCGGAGACTGAGGCGGCGAGGGGAACGACAAGAAGAAGAACCGAGGCCGTGGGCGTGGCGGCGGACGCCAGGGCCTGCTGAGCTTCGGGTTCATCGACGAGAGCGCCGTCTTCACGGGTCCCAGTCGAGACACTGGGGAGAGCATGATCTGCCCTTTGCTCCTCGAGCACGTGGCGAAGGAGGTGGAGAGGGATGCTTCGGTGCTGAAGCAGGTTCGCAAGGCCCGCGAGGAGCAGCGGGCCTTGCGATCATGACGAGTTCACGACGACGCGTACCGCTACCCCCCGGCGGTGCGCGTGTTTTCGGAGGGGGGCCCAGCGGCGGTGGCCCGCCGCCTGCTGGTGAGTTGTACTCATCGGGCGATCGTGCTGGGCGACAGCGTGATCTATTTCCACTGCCAGCGCCCGGTCAACAGCATCGGGCAGCTTCGGAGGCGCATGGCATCGTTTGTTCACGTTCGGTGGCGCGTCGGGTTCTCCGCAAGGGCCACGCCAATTCGATGGAGGGCGAGATCGTTCGGACCCTCAACGAGCTGTACCTTGGCCAGCCCTGGCACCCCGTCAGCCATCCTCAGTCCATCACTGCGGGCCAGCAGCAGGCCTTGGACAAAGCGCGCGACGCAGTCCGACGGTTCGGCGCTCCCCCGGAGGGATTGATTGGCTCAGGGGCCCTTGAGGAGCTCCGAGTTCTCAGCGACCATGCTGGCGAGAACGCCACCGTCGCTCCGCTCGACTTTGATAATATCAACAGCCTCTCTCTTCCAGACGGGGGCTTCAAGCCAGTGCCGCTTGACACGCTGGGAGGAGATGCTGGCCGCAGGATAGTCGAGCGGTTTCATGATATGATGTTGCCCCAGTCGGGGTGTCGAGCTCGGATCGAGTCCGAGGGCCCCCGGAAGCTCTACACCGACCCGGCGCTGAGGAACCCCAAGCTGCATGTCCAGCTGCCGATGATTCGAGCGTCGGAATCTTCTCGATTTTTACAACGACAAGTGTTGCAGCGTAGGTGTCTTTTTCGTTTACAAGAAGTCTGGTAAGCTGCGGCTCATCCTGGACGGCAGACACGCATCCCTGCACTTCCAGGTCCCCGACAAGGTCGCTCTCGCGTCGAGGGCGACCTTCGCCGGCCTCCACGTGGACGGGGGCAAGCCCATCGCGGTGGCGGAGGTCGACCTGGCGGATGCGTTCTACACGATGCTGCTGCCGCCGAAGTTCAGGAGGTACTTCGCGCTGCCTGGCTGCCGCGCTGGGATGCTGGGCCTCGAGAGCACCATGGACGGGCGGCGCCTGGTTGGGACCGACCTGGCGCACCCGTGCTTCAGGCGCCCCCCGATGGGCTGCTCCTTCAGCCTGTGGATCTGCCAGACGATGCTGGAGGGGATGGCCCTGCAGGTGCCCCAGCTCCCCCTCGCGAACCGCTTCGTGGACCGCCGACCTGTGCCGCAGGTGTCCGAGGGTGTGATTCACACCGAGTACGTGGACACTGCGATCAGCCTCTCGACCAACTTGGAGACGGCGGCCGCCGCCGCGTCGGCCGTGGACTCGAATCTTCGCGCGGCGGGGCCCCCTACCCAGGGAGTTGAGTGTAGTTTGGGCGCCGTGGCGCTGGGCTGGCAGTTCGACGAGAAATTCCCGATCATCGGGCTGAACCCAGCGCTCCGGTGGAAGCTGAGGCTGGCTTTCTTGGAGCTGTGCCAGAGGGGATATGCCTCGGGCAAACGATCTCGCGCGTGGTGTCCCACTTCACCTCGCGGGGTCTGATTCGCCGCGAGCTTTCGTCTGCTCTCAACTCGCTGTACGCTTTTTCTGCCCAGTACGGAGGCCGCACGGCGCGGCTGTGGCCCTCCTGCCTCCGCGAGTTTCGTTGGTGCGCCAGCCTTGGCGCGTTCTGTTTCCGGGACGCTGGCGCCGCGTTCGACAGCACGCTCACGATGGTGGACTCATCGCGGTGGGGAGTTGGAGTCACTCAGAAAAAGTCGTCAGCCTCGGTCGCTCTTGAGCTCTCCAAGTACAATGAGAGATGGAGATTCAGTACTCATCAGGAGTCCGAGGTGTCACATAGGCCCCACGCCTTCAAGTCGGCGACCTCCGCCAACCCCTCCACCCCAGAGTCGATCATCACCATCGACTGCTCCGGGAACCCGAAGGCCCCGATCAAGGAGCCCCTGGAGGTGCCCGTAGAAGAGCCTGTCAAGGAGTCCGCGGTGAAGGGGGTGCACGCGGAGGAGGAGATGTTCAATGACATCGAGGAGGAGGAGGAGTTCCCCGAAATCCCATACGACGTCAGGGCGAGAGGCTGGGTCCCGGCGGTGTCTCATCGCTGGAGTCGTTCAGAGCATCAGGTTGTCTTGGAGGCCCGCGGCATGGTCGTGGCCGTCCGTCATGTCCTTCGACGCGTCTCATAGTTCAACCGATGCCATTTCTGCTTGGGCGACTGTTTGGAAGCCATCCTGGCCGCCACCAAGGGACGTTCGTCGCGGCGGGAGATGGGCCGCGCGCGCCGGCAGCTGGCGGCCCTTTCGCTGGCTAGCGGTGCTGCCTTCTTCTGGCGCTGGGCCCCCTCGGAGAGGAACTCGGCCGACCGCGCCTCCAGGAACCTGCCGGGCGTGGGCTATGCTGCGGCGGCGGCAGATCCCTGCTGCCTCGGCGCCGCCGCTGGCCGCCCCAGCCCTGGGAGCGGGCACGGAGGGCCTGCTGGCGAGAGCTGGCCCGACATCGGGCCCCCGCCCGGCCTCGAAGAGGAGGCGCGCTGGCCCTCCGACTGGGCGAGCCTCCGCGACGGCAGCCGCAAGCTCGGCGGGGCCTTGGGAGCTGGCAGCCGAGCCGTTGGACCGCCCGGGCCGGGCGAGCCGCCGGCGGGCGAGGCATCCCCAGGGCGTTAGCTGGCGGGGTCGGAACCAGCGTTCGTTCCTCGCGCTGAAGGCCGTTGGGGACAGGACCGCTTTGGACTACCAGGTCCGATACCAAGCTTTCCTGACTTGGTTAGCGAATGCGGGCCTGTCGGTGGCGACCGTCACGGACCTGGAGGAGGCGCTCCTGCAGTACTTCAACCAGCAGTACTTCGACGGCCACGACTCGCCGGACGGGCCGAAGCTGGTGGCGGCGGTGGCGCACTTCCGGTTGGACCTGGCGCCGAAGCTCGCCAACCTGCCGCGGGTGCTGAGGGCGCTGAAGGGCTGGAAGACTCTGGCGCCCCCTCGCGCCCGCCTGCCCCTGCCGTGGCCAGTCGTGGCCCTGGTGGCCGACTGGATGGTGGCGAACGGCTTCCTGGCCGCCGCCCGAGCGACCGTGCTGACTTTCGCCCTCTACCTGCGGCCGTCGGAGACGCTGTCGTCGCGCGTCAAGTCAGTCGCGCGGCCGGTCAGGGCCAGCCCACGGCATCTGAGCAAGTACTCGATCCTGCTGCTCCCCGCGGAGCTCGAGGCGAGGTCGAAGACCAAGGACTCCGACATCAGCATCCTGTTGGACAACCCAGAGCCCAGCTGGGTCGACCAGATGCTGGATCGCCTCGTGGAGGGACGCGCGGTCGACGCGCCCCTGTTCCCCCTGGACATGAGGTCGTGGGCGCGGGCGTTCCAGCAGGCGGGCGCCGCCCTCGGACTGGGCGCCCTCGGCCCCCCGGTGCTGCACCAACTGCGCCACGGGGGGGCCAGCCACGAGATGCTGCCGAACGCCCGGGAGTTCGGCGACATCAAGAAGCGCGGGCGCTGGGAGGCCGACAGGAGCCTCAAGCGGCACGCGAAAGGTGGTCGAGTTCAAGAGCAGCTTCGGCGTCTGCGACCCGTCCTACAGTCTCAGGCCCTCGGTTGCGCCGTGACTATTGGAAGCACCCTATGCAGAACCTGAGCTCCTGGGCCCACCTGTCCGACTCGAAGGTGTACCTGGAGATCTTCAGTGGCTCTGGGAACTGGCCCCGGGCGCTGCGGCGAAGCATGGCCTCTCGCCTGGCGCAGCGGGTCTTCGAGCTGGACGTGGACCACGAGCCGATCTTCGGTGACCTCAGCCGACGGCGAGCCCAGGGCGCGGTGCGCGGGTGGCTCCGCGGTGGCCTGCTGCAGGGCGTCTGGCTTGGGATGCCCTGCAGCTCGTGGTCGCGGGCACGGAACCGGCCCAATGGGCCACCAGCCCTGCGGGACGCCACCCACGTGCTCGGCCTGCCCAACCTGTCGTCGGGCGACTCTCTCAAGGTCGAGACGGGTAACCGGCTGTCGCAGTTCACATTCAGCCTCTTCCTGGAGCGTGCCAGGCGCGGAGTCCCCGCAGCAATCGAGAACCCATCCACGTCGCGGGTCTGGCAGACTCGCTGGGCCCAGCATGCTGCGCATCAGCCAGGGGTTAAGACTGCGGAGTTTGACTTCTGCGCCTTCGGCACAGCCTGGAGGAAGAGGACCCGCGCGATATATGCCCATCTCAATTTCGACGCGATCAGCAAATGCAAGTGTACAGGGAGTGGCCTCTGTTCTTTCTCACACCGTCCACACCGAGCTCTGGAAGGCAAGACGCCGCCCGGAGCCTTCTGGGCAAAGATTGCCGAGCCATACCCACCCAGTTTGTCCAGTGCCCTTGCCAGAGCCTATCGCGAAGCTAGATTGTCATCCACGCACCAAGCCTTGGTGCGATTAGCGGCCTAGGGCCAGTTAGATATTCGGAGAGATGTTTCGAGGTCGCTTCTGTTTGTCCTGGCCTCCCGCGTCTCAGCTCGACGCGGATGGACGGTGCACTCTGGCTGGACAACGTTTGCGAACAGACACTGTCGAGATGCTGGCCTGGAAAGAGAGCGGGGTCGACGATATCCCACGCGCGCATGTCTTTCCACATCCCGTCACGCGCCCAGGCCGTCGATGTTAGATCGCTTCCGTTGGTTTTTGGGCCCAACCCTGCCCACCCACCCTTGAGCCTTGCATAGAGATGCTCCGCCTGTCGCTGGAGGTCGCTTCTGTTTGTCCTGGCCCCCCGCGCCTCAGCTCGACGCGGATGGATGGTGCACTCTGGCTGGACAACGTTTGCGAACAGACACTGTCGAGATGCTGGCCTGGAAAGAGAGCGGGGTCGAGGATTCACGTGCGCGGTTGGGCGCGTACGTCTTTTTTGTGGGCTCCCTAATGAACAACGTGGACCCTAGGAGGCGTGCCCGGAACCTGTTTTGCACCCCAGGCCGTCTTTCGGCGGCGAGCGAGAGGGGGAAGTGAGAAGGAGTAGACCTTTTTCAGAAGGCGGCGCGGCTTCTCAGAAGCCCTGTGGCCTTCTGAGACGTTTGCTGCGTCTTCGGAGAAGGTTTAGGAAATCTTTCAAAATGCCGGGGGACTTCCAAGCCTTCTGAGACGGCCCGGCCACTATCTTTTCCTTCCGGGCGCGCCGCCGACGCATCCCATGCCGCGGTTTCGCGCATGGGCTCGCAGATTGCTCAATTCGTCGGAGATCTGGGTTGCATCGCTCGGACGCGTGCACTTCGTCGGCGAGGCTAGCGCCAGAAAATCTGGACCATCTTGGAGCGTCTTGAACCATGTTGGTGTAACAGCACGCGCGAAGCCGAACAGTGAACAGGGCATGAACGTCGAGCGATGGCAAAAGAACGGGGCCCCCTTGTGAAGGCATGGTGGGCGGTGTGCACCAGGCTTGGAGCCAGCTGGGAGGCTGAGGTGGCCCAGTACCGGTTGGAGCTCCCTCGTCGCCACGGCTGGACGCGGCTCGAAAAATTCGTCAGTTTTGACCCTGGAAGGGGTCTGGAGACCGATTTTGAGCGAATTTGCCCTCGCCACCCCCTCTCGGCCGGTTTTCTCGGGCCCATCCAGCGCAGACCCCCAGGCCGCTTCCAAAACCAGGCAGGACTCAGGAGGAAGATGCCTCGTTCGTTGAAAGAAAGCAGGTCTCGTGAGCTCCCCCAGGTTCCAGTCTGCTTTAGGCGCATCTACTTCAAGAGTCGAGTGGCTCTCCCACTTCTTTCCTCCTCAGGGGGCTGGCGGAAGCCCAATCTACGCACATTCGACGCCTTCCTACTTCATGTTTCTACCCAATTCGTCCGAACTGTGGGTAAATCAGATCGCTCCATAGCAGCCCAAAGCGCGCTGAGAGCGCTCCAGAGCGTTCTGAAACGGCGGCGACGCCCGAAACGTCCTCTAGACCCGCCAGCTCTCGGAGGTTCCCGCATTGTCCCCATCGAGGCTGGCACCGTCATCTTGCCACGGCCTCAGCACACCTCCCCTCTCCCCGAGGAGCTGGCGGAACACGCCTGGGGCCGGCTGCGCCTCTGGCGGGTCGCCCCCGACACGTCCTCGGCGGGCACGCTGGTCGCGCTGCGCGCCGCAAGCCTGGCGGTGCCGGCCGAGGCCGCTGGCGCTGCCAGCGGCGACCTGGCGGCGAGCCTGTTGGCGCCGCTGCCAGAGGGCCTGCGCGACCCAGAGACGCTGGTGCCGCCCGACGGGTGGCTGGCGGTGGCGCGCGCCGCGGCCGTGCTCGGCAGGCCCGCTGGCGGCGTCGCGGCTGCTGCCGATGCTGCCGCAGCCGCCGCTGCCGTTGATAGCCGTTGCTGCTGCTCTCAGGCCGTCGCGGCTGCTGCCGCCGCCGCCGCCGCAGCTGCTCTCAGGCCGTCCTTGCGCGACGCGGCGCTGGCGGCGGCCGCCGCCGCCCCCGAGCCCGAGACGAGCGGCGGGGCGACGGCGGCGGCAGACGAGCACCGGGCCGCGTCGTGGGCGAG